CATCCATCCATCCATCATCCATCCATCATCCATTCATCATCCATCCATCCATCCATCCATCCAACCATCCATCCATCCATCATCCATCCATCCTCCATCCATCATCCATCCATCCATCCATCCAACCATCATCTATACTGTGCCTGTTTCTTCCTTTCAGGGTGACAGGTGCCCACATCCAGCAGTCACAGTGCGAGGGGCGGGGTACACCCTGGACAGGTATTGGAGCTTCCATGATTGATCATACCTGAAGACGCTTCTCATAGTTTGATACCTCACTCATTTTTCAGAGAACCAGGGTTACCTCTGTTACGTCAAGTTTCTGTGCAGCTGCCATCTAGCAGTAGGCAAAAAAGTTAAAACACCTGCGATGCAGGTAAACGTTTGGGTGCATCTAAATATTGTGCTGATGCACCTAAGAACAAAAGTTACGTACACATGTGCAACCAGTGCAAACGTTAGTCTAGAGCTCTGATGACTTCATGTGATACATTTTGTGATTTTTTTGCTTTAGTAGGGGGTGCATTCAGAATTATTTTCCTATCAGGATCACTTACTGGCCCAGGCCTCTTCAGCTCTTACTGAAGAGACAATAACTTGTGCCTTGATTCTGTTCTCAGTCAGGATTTTCTGCTCTCACTCAGCATCAGCTGGAAGCCTGCTTGTAATGATGCAGTGGTTGGCACAGTTGGACCTGCAGGGATCTTCCTGTGCAGAGTTCACATGGCCTTGTGATGCTTGACTGCCTTCTGTTTTTCTGCTCCCAGCTCAGTAAAGGTTGCTCTCTCCACTTGGCCCAGCGCTGGAGTCAGCTGTTCAACATTCAGCTGAGGAGAATACCTGTTCTGTCCAAGGACTCTGCACCTGGACTCATCATGGCTACAGGTAGGACAGCAAGACATGAAATCACTACAGCAATTATTCCTATAAACAGACATTTGATAGAGAAACTAACTTGTTAAAATGTTATACTTGCTTTAAATGTAGCCAACAACAGCTCTTGTGTCTGTCGAGGTGCATGCAGCTGATTCCTGGCCCACATTTTCTGTCCAGATTCTCATACAGGTTCAATCATACAGGTTCAATCATACAGGTTCAATCATACAGGTTCAACAGGTTCAATCTGTTTTAATGACTCATCTTAAGGTAACAGCTTGCTTGTCCCAGTAAGTGTTCAGGCTTCCAACACAGTCTTGAAAAGTATGAGGAAAATATGGGATTTCATTAAAATATTTTAATTATGATGGAAGAAGACACGTGGATTAAAGTTCTCTGTCACCACCACTGATTTCCTGATGCACCACCCCACCACCACTTCCTGCACCCCGACCTCCCCAACACGTTTGTATCGAGTTTCAGTTTCAATTCAAACTTTATTAAAAACACATAATCCTGGTTCATATGAAAAAAATCAAAGGGTATAAAGAAAAAAGAGGTCATAGCAGTAATAAAAAAGCTTACATCACAGATTATTTACACATATAGGCAGGATTATTATTGCCTCCACATTTAGGATATATACCTAACCGAGCTCATCCTAGGGCAGAGCAGGGCTTTTATAATGTAATCCTGCTGATTCATAACTCTACACATAAATATATAGATACAATGTCTAATAACAGCTGCTCAACATCTAATACCACAGTTAAACACTCGTACTATTGTGCCTTGGGAGTCTCAATAAAACAAAGTTGCATCTGTTTACTTTTCATTTTTTCCCCAAAAACCATCCCAATGTTTTCTCTGTGAGAGTGTAAATTCCAAATGTATTTGTAGTTCATCATTAATATCTGCAAACTTCAATCCTACACAGTGTTATACTAGTAATGAAAAGGTGTGGTGATAAATGTAATTCAATATATGTTTAAATACAAAGAATAAGTAGTATTAATTGACAATGTGATTGTTACGGAAATATTTATTTAACAAAGACAGAAATGCGTGGTCCAAGAATGAAGGTACTCCGTGAGATGATCAGCTGAGTTTTATTGCACCAACAGGAAACACAGAGAGACACAGAACTGGGCTGATGGGCTCTGTCTTCCTGGTTTTAGTCCAAACATGAGCAGCAGTGTTCTGGATCAGCTGCAGCTGTCTGATGGATGTTTTAGGCAGACCTGTGAAGACACTGTTGCAGTGATCAATGTGACTAAAAATAAAGGCATGGATGAGTTTCTGTAGCTCTTGCTGAGACATTAGTTCTCTAATCCTGGAAACATTTTTCAGGTGACAGAAGGCTGACTTTATAACTGTCTTCATGTGTCTGTAAGGTTCAGGTCAGAGTCCATCCCTACACCCAGATCTCAGGCCTGACTGCTAGTTTCCAGCTGCAGCTTAGGGCATGGGGTGGTATGAGATTATGACGGTATGATAAGCTTGGGCAAAAATATCACAGTATCACGGTATGTGGGTATTATGGTTACAGCTCTAAAAATTTTGTTTTGAAATTTGTATTAAAAAATAAAAAAGAGTATTTTTTCTGTTTTTATATTCAACTTTAACTATCTTTGGAAGCTGTTTTTAGATCTCACAGGTGTTATGCTAAAGTTTTATTTACCTGTGTGCATCTGTACTTGTGGTTTTTAGTACCTAATGCAGTTAGGTTATCCTGATAAAGTTTACATCTAGTAAGATAACTGCTTTTCTGTCGCTTTATTATTTAAAACAAATCAGTGTATACTGCACAACAAGTCTTTTTATTGAAGTAAAGTATCATGTTGGAGGTTTTTTATTGTGTTTTAAATGACAAATGGGTTTTTGGCGTAAAGATTATATAATTATATGCACACAGAAACAAGAAGTCACAACTATGAATGTGTGTTTATGAAACCTGACACACGGGACGTGATAGCGATGGCAGCCTTGCGAATCGCGCTCTTGGATCACTTGTCTTCATGAAATTTGATTGGTTCTTCTACTGCCTCTTGTAAAGGTTATTGGTGGTTCACAGAAAAGGGGTGTGTTCATTACGGACGTGTAAACTAAACAAATCTTGCGATGCTAATGATATTGAAAAACAAACACACACCAAGATACAATTTTATGAGGAAAAACGTACCGGATAACTTCACCCTGGTGCCAATAAATTCCCACAAAGCTTTTTAGTAATCCCTTGGTGAAAGTGTTAGCTAACTGCAGTGTGTAGCATACTCTCCTCTCATTGGTCAGTCAATGAAACCCTCGCTGATTGGTTGTACGCTAAGTGACAGTGACAAAAGTTGAACATTTTTCATCTTTCATATGTCGCGTCGCAAGCTCGCGTGTGCACGTCTACGTGTACGAGCGCAAAATTTCACATGCACTATTTTCACCGGTCGCTTAGCTGGAGGAGGGCAAGCGATTGTCGCCTCACCGCACAGGCTCCATAGGAAATGAATGGAGAGAGAGCGACGTCGCCTCCCGTGTGTCGAGACCTTTACCTGCTGCAGGCTGGTGCTGACTGGAGGTAACCAGGACAACCTGGAGCAAACTTTTAGTGTGATGAGTTTTCTCCTGTCAGTCAAGCAGAATGGACTCTTTCATCAAGTCGCCTGACAAATACAGCACTGGGTGAACTGATGAGATGAATGTGGAGGGGTCCAAATGGATATTTTTGAAATGTGTGGGGACACGTCTCCTTCACTTACTGTTGTTACAATGCCTGTGCAATGATTTGATATCTGCTGTTTTTAAAGCTTGGAGGAAAATCCCTGATGAGAATACCTCATAAACTAGAAATAATGTAGACTTTTATGTATATTTGATTCTGGTTGTCCAAGCAGACGCAGCAACGGTCTGTAAATACTCAGAGAAAATCCTTGTAGTGTGTTGTATGTTGGCCTGTGTTTATTGTGGTGTAAACTATCTCTTTGCTGTCTGATTGCAGGATCTGTTGGCAGGAACTTGGCCAACAAGCCCAATGTGTACGTGTCCAGCAGTGCTGGAGCTCGGTGGAGAGAGGTCAGTGCAGAACCTGACACACGTCTGAAACCACCTCTAATAAAACTGTCACAGTCTAATGATCTGATAAAGAAAACAAGCAAACTGTAAGAAGTAAAGAGGCTGTGAATGTGAACAAGCCTCGTGGACCTTTCAGCAGACCCAGATACTCACAGAAAGTGTTTAATGGAAGGAGAGTTGTTCTGCTTCTTAATGTTTTCAATTAAATGATCCTGAATTAATTAAAAAGCTTTGATGAATAAAGATGGTTAAATTATTCTATTCTTAGACAAAAGTCCAGTTCTTGTAGAACAAAGGTTCATCCTCATGCAGTTAGGTTTTCTGCACCGATACACTGAAGTACTTTCATTCACTTGTATGAACTTATCAGTCTAACATGTGAACAATACTTGACCTACTTTACTTCAGTGCTTCAAACAGCATATCTTTAAAATACCAATGTGATATTTGCAGACATTTGTTTTTACACATTGATTGTTTTTGTCCTAGATTTGCTGCTGTGCTTCAGCCCGAAACATGATAGTTTGTGTTTTGTTTTGTTTTTTGCTCGGGTCTGCTAGGTTCCTCAGAGAACGATCAGCTCAGATTTCTGATTTTAAGCCGACTGCTTTGCTGCAATACATTTTTTTCATTTAGAAGCAATGGCAACAAAGAGAACAGAAAAATAAAAGACTGTCAAACATTAAGCAGAAGAAAAACAACGTGGGTTCATGTTTTGAGAAAATACTGTAAGAAAATTTGTTTCCATCAACATTATGATCACAAGACTCAAAATTGTCTAGAAACGAGTCTACAAACACTACAGAAAACTAAAGGTAAGGGAGGACTAGATCTTCCCAACTTCTACCTCTACTTCATGGCCAACAGATTACAGTGCATCTCAAAATGGATAAATCCTAGCCCATTAGACGAATCCTGGATTGACATAGAACAAACACTGTGCCATAATATTAGGGTCGTGGACTGGTTGGCCCCTTTGTTGTGGCGGGGGCTCGCTCTTGGTCCCTCTTTGCGTTGTCCGTGGCTGGGTGTGCGCTCTCGGCTAGATCACTGTTGCTGGGGGGTTCGGTAGCTTCTTTGGGCTGCCGGTTGGCTGTGGGGCTGGGGGTCGGGTCTTGGGGGTCTCTGCGGCTCTAGGG